AGACAGTGGAAGGATATGGGTCTGGAGAATGCCTCACCAAGAGTTTTGGCTCAACAGATTGCAGCGAACTGTGAAACATGGTGGTTTCAGCGTGATGGTTTGGGGAGCTGTTTGGGTTGGTGGAAGATCGAGCTTAGTGGAGTGCATTGGCAACATAAATTTTGCGAAATACGTCGAAATATTGTAGGAAGGACTCATGCCACTTTATTCCTCGGGTTTCGTGGACAAGAATACAACATTGTTCCAGGAAGATGGAGCACTGTGTCACACTGCTAGAAACATCCAAAAGTGGCAGGAAGAAAATGGTATCCAGAAGTTGCCCTGGCCGAGCCAATCTCCTGACATGAATCCCATCGAAAACCTCTGGGCCATACTCGACCGGAGTCAAGAAACAACCAAAAAAGTCAACTTCAAAGAGCGATCTACTCCAAGTTTTGAAGCAAGAGTGGCCAAAAATCCCACAATCTAAAATTGACGAGATGATTCTTACGATGCCTCAAAGAATCAACGAACTCCACAAAGTGAAAGGAAGATCTACTAGATATTAATTAAATTATAAATATATCAATTCATGTGAATATGACTGAAAATTTTCATTTTTTCTGAAAAGGTGGTGTCTGTTTACTTGTGACCACTCCGTGTATGTATTATTATAAGGATATTACTGTACCAATTGAACTATTAGTGACTTATGATAATAAAGATGACTGAAAGGTCTTTTATGCAACTCTGTTGATGCACACATATGTATTAGGATATTACTGTACCAATTGAACTATTAGTGATGTTATGATAATAAAGATGACTGAAAGGTCTTTTATGCAACTCTGTTGATGCACACATATGTATTATAATAAGGATATTATTAAGAGACAATGAAATATTAAGTGACAGAGAAGATTCTCATGATTATTCTGTTGCTATAGAGACTTGTAATCTTGATAATCCAATTGCACTGAGAACAGAAAATACACATGCATATGTGTTTCTTTGTCTGGAACAATGACCTTGTGATACAGTATTACTTATATTAGTGTTTACACAATGCTCAAACTATGAGTTAATAGTGTTAAGTTGCAATTGTATGAATTTCATTATTACAAGTAAATATTAATCCATAGCATTAGCAGTAATGCATGATCCTGATATGACTTAATGGAACCAAAATATGCAAAGTGACCTTTATAAAGTGATTATTCTTTGAATTCAGGAAGTAAGTTATGTTCTGAAAGATTAAGCTGATACCAGAATAGCTACATGTCATGCTGATAACATACAATTACATTGGTAACTTGCTAGTACAAGCTTAGATGGTAAGGGCTTCTTTATAGATTTTGGGTCGATCATTCTGATGAACAAAGTTTATTACACCTGACCTGATAGTGTGTTCTTTAAAATATCTAACACATAAGCTTGAAAGGTTGTGTGTGTGTTTAAGCAAGTTCCTCAAAGTTTTTGTGTAGTGTAGTGTATAAAGTTTTGTTCCTCTGACAAGGGGATCTAAGAACAAAAGGTTTTACATTAGCAAACCACCATACCTATCTGCTGTCTCAGTAAAACAAACATCTTTCACTTGTTATATTGCAGTCAATTGAGAATTGTTTACATTTAGTTCTATTGAGCTTTCACTGGAACTGTCATAAGATACGTCTGTTCCTTAATCCTAGTGCATTAAGGTTTTTTTCGAGATACATTATCTTTATGTATTGTGGTTATGAATGAATAGTTCAATTGGAATAAAGTAAGCAATATTGATAGTAACATCAACTTGTGATGACTGTAACAATCAAGATACAAGGCCATATCTTGTGCATTTTACATGTGTTTTTGTTATTAAACTTAATAAAATAACACCATCTGTGATCATTTGTGTGATTTATTCTGAACAAAGAAGAAAATAGTACAGGTTTTCATCACTAGTTGTTTAGACTGGTTTACTGTATTACACTGTTCTCCGGTTACGTGAGCTCACTAATAGCACTGACATCTGCATTGAGGCTAATTGAAAATCCCACAGCATATGTAACAGTAAAGTATTTTATGTTAACTTACAAGTGCATCAGGACCCTGGAGATCTTAGTAAGTTTCATGTACTGAAAGGTCACATAATACATCATATATTAACTCATGGAACTGTGTGTTCTTTATATATTTAATAAAGCACTATTTACAGGAGGTGGTTTTATGGAGGATACAGAAACATGAGAGGAGAAATTGTTACATGTATATTTTATGTAGTGAAGAGTCAGTCAGAAAACCCTGGATTTCCTAAGCATAGCTGTATTTTAACTAGTTATAACTGTTTATTATGTAGAACTATTATTTATCATTGCACTGTTATTACTCTCATTATGAGAATCAGGAAGGGGGAGTGGTCTGTAAGGCCTTAATAGTTCATTTAAAAGAACTTTCATTCAGTAGTTGTGGGATGAAGTTTTTTTTTTTAGTTGTTCTCTTGTTGGTTATCTAGGATTTGAACCAGGAGTGTTGAAAGAAGGGGTCATTCTCTTTCAGTCAACTACATGATGGAAATATACAATGCAAGAATAATAAATGTTAATGAGTTACCAATGAAAAAATACTTGAGGAAAAACAAAAGTACATGGAAATGGCTATTATGGACATATATGAAATCAAATCCCAAACAAAATTATCTGATGACTGATAAGCCATCTGAGCTAAATGGATGACAGAACATCTATGTACATGCTTGATGTAACTACTGACTGGTGCTGTGTGTGTTGTTGACAATTTGTGGGTGTGGCATGTCAGTGTTTACTGTTTTTAAAGTTGCCAAAGTGTAGTGTGACTTAAATAAATTTGTGATTCACTGTTCTGGAACAACAAGTTTATATGGCTACAAGTTTTGACACTTTCACATGTCCTCTTCAGTTCAGCTTTTGTTTAGGAAAGAAACACATACACAGCTTATTTAAAAAAAAAGTTTTAAATTATTTCAGGTCATACGATGTAAAAATCAACATTTTTTATGAAATAAGCTGCTTGTTTCTTTCAAAAACAAAAGCTGTGCTGAAGAGGACATGTGAAAGTATACAAAACTGTACCTGTATAAATTTGTTGTTCCATGGTATTGTGTTTTTATTTACTTTTAATCTCTGACTGCTGCTACCTTAAGGATGAGCCTAAATTTAAGACATTGGACACTACATTATAAACAAAAGTTGAGCTTAATTATTTTACTCATGATAAGTTTGAATTTGGTTTGTTTAATCAGCCGAAAATATTGCTGTTAATGAGGATACCCAGCTAATGAAACAGTCTGTTCTCATCATTATAAGTAAGAATGTTTTAACAGCATATTAGTTGTTTTTCATTACTGGGATAATTAGTTCTGAGTTGTTGTTTGCTTGAATCAGAAGTTGATACAAATTAGAAATAAAGCCATTATTATATTTTTAATGACATGCATTTCAAATTAATCAAGAAGTAGTTAATGGAAAGTAGAATGTTATTTCTCTAAACTTACAAATAAACTAACAGGTATATATATTTTGATAGATTTTTGTTTAGCCTTTAGTTTGGTATCAGATCATTATGTTCAAGGTAAACTAATTGGAAACCACCATGAATGGGAAGAAATAGTATCATTCAGCAGTCATTGTTTACATATATAAGGACTTGTGTGAATTTTAGTTATTTACTCATCTTTAGATTACTTTAAATTGGTAAAATGTATTAGAACTCATTCAGTCTTTCAATTTTGCTTCATGGATTTTATTAGTTTGAGATGAATTGCTTTATATGTAAGTTTAAAAAAATTATGAGTACTAGATTTAGCTTGTTGACTTGGTAACCAGGAACTCTCTCCCTAGCAACAAAAGTGTGCAAAGATGGTTGTGTAAACACATATTACATAAACTTATCTGCTAAGCTATATAAAATGTATTTTGTACTATCGATCCTGACATGATAACAAGTTTTTTACTGACTGTGAAAGGATTAATCTATGTAATGCATCTTGATAATAGAGTTAGCACAAAGGATCATGTATAAAGTGTAATAAACTTAAAATAAGTCCATGTAATGCATGATATTTTATTCCAGTAATTCATTAAATTAATGATATAAGGCTTAGGTAAAATTATTTCATTGATATGATCAGATGTTTTGCTAAAATTCAACTTAGAAGAGAATTATTTGTTGCATATGGGGGGAGAACTTTAGAATTACTTGGAAGTTTCGTTTTGCTAGGCTTATTAGAAGTGTTTAACCTGGTAGTAATACATTATTTAAAAGTTTTTCTATATAAGAATTAAGTTATCATAAGCATAAAAAATCGTAGACTGAATGTGTATGTAGCATTTCACAATTTTGTTAAAATATGAACTTCATTAAAGTTTTGTAAAGTTTTTCTTTCATTTTTTAGGTTTTACAACTAACTCAAAATTTTAGTTTAGCTGCAGTTAAGTGTTTAAAAATTTAGTTCACATAATTATTCATGTATTACACTGTTGCCAGTTCTAATAAATGGAGAAGTGTTAAAGAAGGAAAGATATTATTACGTGCTGAGTGTTTTGAACAAAGACATTTAATAAATCTAACTATAATAGACAAAGAAATCAGAAAAATAATTTCTTATTTTGTTTTCCACCAGGTGTGGTACAGGAACATCCAAGGATTGGATCTGATGGAGAAAGTGAAGAAACTTCTGGTGCCTCTGATGAGGTTATTTCTCCCGCAGTAAGATTTCGACCAAAAAATCACCGGATAAGTCGGGTAATTTCTTTTTTCCCTGCTGCTGTTTTTTTTTATTCTGCTTGCTATTATTTAATGTGTCAGATGAAAGCCTAATTCAGTGGTTCTCAGTGTGGGCCGTGCCATATTTCTAAGGGGCCACATGTGAATGACCGAAAATTAGGGGGGTCAGTAATTTCTGAGTGGGCCACCAAAACTTCACTGCACGAATAAAATAAATAAAGTTTGCAATTAAATCAAAGGTTCCCTTCCCCCCGTATCTCCCACAGTAATTTCTGAGTGGGCCACCGAAACTTCACTGCATGAATAAAATATATAAAATTTACAATTAAATCAAAGATTCCCTTCCCCCCCGTATCCTCCACAGCTCAGAAGTCCAGTTACCAGATGAGACTTGTACTGGAGTAACTATCAAAATGTTTGTATGGTATCTGTGAATGTTTTCGACTGATTCTCAACAGCAGCAAAACTATTGTTGTGTGGTGCGCCACTCCACCAACCAAGCGGACATCCAAAAACTTTCTAGTGTTCATCAGGCCCAAGGATTACACTGGATAAAATGTCAATGATTAACAAAATATTTTTTACTTGTATAAGTAAACAATATGTTATAAACAAAATCTTTTAAAAACAATATAATATTGTATTACAATATTGTAAAAATAATATTATAAATATATTATAACTCAACAGTGTGGAAATAAAGTAACTTTTTTCCTAAGTAACAGTGTCTACAAAGGGTGGGGCCATAAAGATAAATCAAACTCAGAAGGGAGCCACGAGCAAAAAAAAGGTTGAGAAACACTGCCCTAATTGATTGAAAGTCAAAAAATATATGGTTGCCTAAAACTTGAACATTAATAATAATATTTTATTTGGTCATTCTGTGAATACTCATGGTGAATAGAGAACATGAATGAGAGAAAATTTCTGTTTAATACAAACTGTTAAAACTTTAAGTGTTAATAATGCAGTTTTTTTCATATATTGTACTGTTCGGTAAATTAGGAAATCATACTGTCACTTAGACAAAGGCATCATAAAAGACTGAATTTTTAAAGTGGGGAAAAGCTTTTAAACAGTTTTGTAGGAGATGTGCTAAACAACCATGTTTTGAGGAGCATAGTAATTTATTAGGTAATATTGAATTTGGTATTATGTGTTTGGCAGTTCTAATATACCCAGTTACTTGTGTTTGGCAGTTCTGATGTACCCAGTTACTTGTGTTTGGTAGTTCTAATGTACCCAATTATTTGTGTTTGGCAGTTCTAATGTACCCAGTTACTTGTGTTTGGCAGTTCTGATGTACCCAGTTACTCGTGAACAAAGAGAATTTGTCCAATGAAGAATTACCTTTTCATCAGTGAATATCTCATAAAGTTTTCAAGATATGTATTCTAACTAAAAATAACCCAGCAGACTATCAGCAGGATGTGAATTTTTAGTGGGAAATGAATTGTTGTGCAACATTTGTACAAACTTTTGATAATACATTTTTTCTCATTGATAAAAACAACAACAAATGTAGTGAAATGGAATGGTGGATGTGCAGTGCACGACATTCTTTGAGGCTGGCATTGTTCACTCGTGACTGGCCATGATGTGGTTTTGCCACATTGGGAACTGTTCCATTAAAACTATCACAAACATTAAATTGTAACTTATCCCCCTTACTCTTTTTCTTTTTTCTTCTCTCTTTTTTTTAATTACATACATACAAGCATTATATGTAGCTAAGTTTGATTTTTTTTTCTTTTTGGGGGTGCGTGGGGGTATTATATGGGACTTACAGAAGATTCTGTAGTGTATGATATCTAACATTTGTGTTCATAAGCTTCTTTAAATTGTAGCACCAAATAACTTGAAAGCTGTGAATTCTTTCTTTATTAATACAGATCCATTTATATTGGTGTAATCTTTTCCTGTGTACTTTTAGATTAAGACATTACCATATAGAAATAATAGGGCTCACTGCAAATGATCATGAAAAAATTTTCAGAAATTACAATTAAATTATAGAATGATTAAATATAGTAGGAAAGACTTCTTTGACTGTAAGGATATGGTGTGTGTGTTTATGTGTATATGTGCATACACGCGCACACAAATATATATGTGAATAGTCATTTTAATTGTTAACTGACGTATGAGTATTATACAATAAAATGTATTTAGGATATATATATATATATTTTTATAATTGTCAGAATTTATTTATTCATAAATATATAGTAAAATACTGCTGCTTATTTATTAGTATTTGAATAAATTGTGGCTTAAAGTATTTACAATTATGTTTTCATTTTATTAAGAAATAACTTCTGTTGAGGAATAAATCGAGGTGAACAAAGTTTGAGTGATTTTTGTTAGTTTCTGTCTTTTTCAAACATTATTATTGCATTTTTTGTAAATATATAATAGGCATCATGTCATTTTCAATAACCAATTAATCTTTAGTTTGATTTTACATCATCATCAGAGTTCATAATAATTCTTGTGATAAAAAGGCCTATACAATGAAAACATTGACATTTCTATTCAAACTCTGGTAAGTATTATATATGATATGTCATTGCTTTATTAAGGGATTTATGTTTTATATGCAGAAATATTTGTTAAATAATATTTATAACTATATATTTATCATAATTGTAATTTTAAAGTTTTTGGTAAGAAAAGCAAAGGATGTTTCTTTAATTTGCTGTTTAGTCAGATACCCATTTGAGAAAAATGCTTAAAGGTGTTTAGCCCATGTTTCTTAAAAAAATGTTTGGATTCAGTTGTTGTTTTTTATGGGAGGATATGGATATTTATAATATAAATTTACTTCAATAGTTCAAGGAAAGAAATTTTTTATTCAAAAAAGATTACAGAATGTTTTGTTAAATTCTTTTATGTATTTTCTGTTCTAGCAAGACATAAATAAACGACTTTCCCTGCCAGTAGACCTTCGTCTTCCAGAGAGTTTTGTAGCTAAACAGTCAGCTAGCCCAAACATAGATGGCCCACTTAGTAGAACAGTGCGTAGACAATCCCTTGTAAGTTTCAATTTATTTTGCACTCTTATATTTGGGTGATAAAGGGTTTTGGGAGGTGTAAATGGGGCTGTGAAAGATGACTAGGCTATTGTAAAAACAAATGAATTTGAAATTGGTGCCAAGGTTTCAATTAAAATATGTATTGATGTAGAATTTCCACCATTGCCTTACTTGTTTCTGCTTAGTGATGGAAAGCTGTGGTCAGAGCTCAGCACTTCATCTTTGTAGTGCACAGTCAACACTGAAAATGTGGCTAAGAATGAGGACTATGCTGATTCAGTTTAAAGTAAATCTTGAGGAACATAATTGACTAAGTAGTAATAAAGTGTGTGGTAATTGTTAGAGGATGCTGTCAAACAAGACCTTTCTCAAAAGCTATCATGATCTCATTCATTCGTCAGCTTATCACATCCAGTATATATTATATGTTGTTGTTATAAGCCAATGTGTGTGTGTACTCAATAATTGTATAAATTATTTTAAACAAGCTTCTTTGGGCATTTGCTCTTTTTTTCCAATGTTTTAAACACAGTAGTCAAAGTATAAAATTTCCTGATTAATGATACTTCTCAAGATTTTGATTCTTTAGCTTAAACACCTGTAAGTTTTGCTCCTTTTATAAAGATGTTTTTAAAATTATATTTAGGTTATATGGGTAATTTTGAGTAAAATATGTCTTTTCTCATATATTAAGATTTTATAATACATATTGGAGTTATACTGATATTACATTTCTCTATCATTTTTAATCTGTTAGGTCATTTTAGAGTTTGAGTGGTCAGTGATTAAGTATTAAGAATAAAATTAATGTCAAGAGTTAGAGGAAAATCACTGGTTGTCATTCCTGGGAAAGAACAAATATAGCTTCAAACTACAGTTAGAACAGTAACTGCTTTTATCAAAAGGTTTACACCTAAAAGTAGAAACAGTTTTGAAACAACTTGTTTCTCCAAGACAAATAATGAAACTGGAGAACAAAAGTCTACTAAGCTTTAAGTGATTACTTTTTATTATTTGTTAGAATCCAAAATTATAACCAAAATTCTTGAGATGTGTACATTTGAAAACAATCAATTTAATATATGTAATTCATCATTTATAACTGCATTTTAAAAAAGATTGATCAACCCATCATATTTTGTAAAATTTAAAAAAAAAAAAACAGTGTTTCTTGAAACTGTTCTGATACTGCTTGGCTATTTTTAGTGAGTTGTGGTAAATTGTTAAGTAATATATCTGCTGTTTATTGGAATAATATGTTCTATTTTAATAGTTAGTAAGTAAATCACACACAAAAAAAGCTGTTTGTCATACAGGAACCTTACTTTACTGACATATAGAAGTAATCTAATACCTTAACAGTGTATTAATTTCACTGGCATTGATTTGTAG